GGAGATCATATGTAGGAACATATTCAGAGCACTTTCAGAAGTAATACAGACCAGAATAAATATAACATATAACATTAAATTAATCAGCACTCAGCGACTCGCTCTGTAACTTTACATAGTCTGACCCTTAGTGGCTGAGCTGCTGTGGTTCCTAAACGCTTCCACTTTTCAATAATACCACTTACAGTTGATTGTAGGGGAGACTTACAATCATACCACATAGCATTTTCATACCATTTAGAACCAAATTTAGAACCAAACCCCCACCCCCCCCCCACCTTAGCTGATGCTAGTGTCTGTGTGTGGTGCTTCCATGTGCATCTGTTTGAGTGTGTGCAAATACTTCTGTGCTACAGGTGTGCATTAATGTCCCCAAAAAGACTAATGTTTTCCAGGGGGGTTTGTTCCTTGCAAAGAGCCAAACGTCCACAGACATGAATGAAATATACGATACTCACATTAAAGCAATTAATGGAAATGTCTTACCAGACTGATCTGTGTTTGTTGTGCTTCCTGACTTCGCTGTGGTGGAGTCTGTAGTGTCCAGCTGTGTTTATATATTTACAAGTATATAAACAGAGAATAAAATATAATCCACATTAATGTCCATTATAAGCTTAAATGGCAAAGAATGTCAGAATTTTCGTGTTTTCATACATTAGTGAAGACATTAGGCCATGGTTTTAAAAAGGCAGCACACAATGGATTCTAATAAAGTCCTGTACAAATGCGGCCGCTGCAGCTTGGTGTACACAACAACTGAGGACATTAGAAGACATGTTTGTACTAAGTATTTTATTATAAAGTTTTTTTTCTAATATAATACACTAGAAGGATGCGAAGCATGGCCTTTGCAGCTGCCATAGGTGACTTGAGTAACAGAACACAGTGTTTAATGCACCACTATTTCCGTTTAAATAAATGTTTTGCTATCTTTTATCAGGGCTGATTGCAGCCCTGGTCAATTGTGTGAAGACTGAGTCCAATTGATTAAACAGCATAATCAGGTGTGCTCCTTCTTTTTGAAATGGGAGTCTGCATCCACACTGGCCCTTTGTGGATAAAATTGGTGAACAGTGACCTTAAAACCCTCCACATAACACTGACATAGCCATGCCATGTGCTGTATGCTGTCAGGGTTTTTCATGACAGATTATGTCAAGTAATATCACAGTCATTACCATTACCAGTAATTGTCATGACAGGTGTCATAATGTTGAATGCCATGAATAGTTTTTTTCACATGCTAAGCTTTGCTCCGTGTACAACTCTGTCCAGAAAAGCTGAGATGCTCTGCAAAATGTAAATAAAATCAGAATGCAATGATATGCAAATCATTGAAACCCTATGTTTGATTGAAAATAGTACAAAAACAACATATCAAATGTTGAGACTGTGAAATTTTATTGGGCTCAGGAACATTTCAGAAAACCATTGTGAACACAGTTCGGTGCTGCATCCACAAATGCATGTTAAAACCATGCAATAAGAAACCATACATATACAGGATCCAGAAATGCCTCCGCCTTCTCTGGGTCTGAGGTCATTTAAAATGGACTGGGGCAAAATGGAAATTTGTGGTCTGACAAATTAGAAGTGAAGTTCTGTTTGGAAATCATGGACGCTGTGTCCTCCAGGCTAAAGAAGAGAGGAACCATCCAGCTCATTACCCATGCACAGTTCAAAAGCCAGCATCCGTGATGGTGTGGGGGTGCATTAGTGCACATGGCATGGGTGACTTGCACATCTGTTTTGGAGCAACATGTCCTGCCGTTCAGATGACGTCTTTTCCAGCAAGAGAATGTCAAACCACTTTTGCTCATGTTACAACAGCATGGCTCTGTAGTAAGAGTCTGAGTACTAAACTGCTCTGCCTGCAGTCCAGACCTGTCACCCACTGATATCATTTGCTATTTAAAATACTATACCTAGCAACAATGGGAAAACATTTCATTTTCAAAACTACAGGAGTTCATCTCCTCAGTTCTCAGAGTGTTGTTCAAAGAAGAGGTGATGTAGCACAGTGGTAAACATGCCCCCGTCCCAACTTTTTTGAAACAAATTTCTCAGTTTCAATCTGACATGTTGTGTTTCTACTATTTTCATTTAAACATAGGGTTTAAATGATTTGCACATCATTGCATTTTGTTTTTATTTATATTTTGCACAGTGTCCAAACTTTTTTGGAAATGGGGTTGTACTCTAGTAGTATATATTTTGTGAAAGATATTATGACACTTGAGACAACTGACAACTCTCATAAAACTTAATGAATTACAGAATGATCTTAAACATCTTAAAATCCCTGTTGGTGCAGTGGCCTACAGATATGTTATGTCACACGTCATTATAATTGCTTTACAATGCTGTCAGAGATGTTGTAAGAACATATACACATATCATGATGGAATTCATTCATTCTAACTGTCTCCCTGTGACAGACTGATGAGAGCAGTCTTTGGTAATATTATAGGGAGAATGCTGAAAGTTTTCCCTGTTTATTCTGGCTATTCAAAGATTTCTCTTCAGCTGGCTCAGCTCTTCAGCCTGATGATGCCAGAGAGCCAGGATGCTATAAAAGCTTACATCATTCAGGTTTTTGTTGCTGTTGTTACAACAACCATGAACCACACAGCACACTATGGATATAATTTGCCTCTCGGGGTGCTTTATTGACTATCAGCACAAACAATGGCTCCCAGAATGCGTCAACAATATGGTGGCAGCAACATGTGTGAAGTGATAATGAAATGCTATATATTGTTGTTCATATGACTTTCATTTAAAAGCAGTCATGTGACAGTAGGGAATTGTGACTCTTAAACCTCTGCCCTCCGACCCCATCACCCCCCGCCTTCGCACGTCTGAAGAAAAAACAGCCTACTTTACTGTGTCCTCTCCTACAGTACTGCAAAAGTTAAGAAACAAAAATTAACATGATAGTTCAGCCCTAAAAATGCAACGAACCAATAGCCCAAAGAGGCCAAAATGGAAACCGTCCTTACAAATAATCACATCATTGTACAAGTTCTGTGTGCTTTTCAGAAAATGCATGACAGTCACGACCTCCTACCACACAGAACCAACAGCATTTCGTACAAGCCTTCACATCACAACAGCACACACAGCCAAGCAGCCAGGAGAGTCAGACACATCAGCGTAAAAAAGACCACTAATTCTGCTTAATGACCGTTTTCTCAAATAAACCTTCACATTACACAAACAGTGTCAGCGGCAGCTGGAATAAAATCAGCTGGCGGAGTCAAAACATAATGAAGTCCATCCTCCTGTTCTTTTGGCTGAAGTCGTTGGATGGAGGGGTCACACAACTGATCCTTTGCTTTTAAATTAATCAACAATTTCTTCTCAAGCATTCTGATGACGATGGGCTGACTTGGATAATCTTCCTAAATCACACAATCCATCTCTGGCCCGAGACCCACACTCAGCCAAACAGCAAGCAGTCCCAGCAGTAGAGCTTTGAGAGAGCTCCCTGGTCGATCCTATCATTCAGGGGTATTTTGGTGTAATTACTGGAGTTGAAATGCCTATCAGAAGCCTCTTTTGCACCAAACTAAGCTATAGTGTAAGTTGTCCTTTTCATTTAAAGTTGGCATGGATAATAAATTCACAGCGACGTCCTCCTCACTGGCATTAAAGTAACTTTCGGCCTCCACCATGATCCAACAAGCTAGCTAGCTATTTTTGCTAGCTTTGTCTTTACAGCCTGCATGTCTCCACATTGGGCAGAACTTTGCATAAAGTTAGCAATAACAAAGCCCACCCCTTTAGAGGGAAGATATGATTGGTCAATTTTACTGTCATTTGAAATTGGTCTTTGAAGTACTATTGCTTGGTCCTCTGCAAATTTATAGCTGGACCACCAATCACCAGCATTCTTTCCAGCAATAGCAGATACGGCAAAATTCTGATAAAGGGAGACAAAGGGGCTTCGTTAATTTAATCCTTCTGATGGTTCCCCTCTGCCCTGTGATAATCAGAGATGTCCAGAAAGGCTACATCTCTACATCTCACAGAATAGTTTAACTCAAAACTCTGAAATATCGTTTTGATCGTTTCAAGCCTGGTAGACCACCTAGGGATTCTGTATACACAGTCCCATTCATTTAATTCATTGTCTTTGCAGTATTTCATTTGATAATGTTCAGAAATGATTCACATTTTCAAAAGTTTTGTTAGGTATTCTGTTTCATTTTCATTTATTCTTATGGCCAAACTCACTGTATTTTGCTGCATAATGTGCAGCATGCAGAAAAATCGGCTCTGACCTTTCAACATAAGCGTCAAAATGAAAAGCAAAATGTTTCACATGCTCACGCTATGCAGAGCGTGTTTTAAAGTAAAAAAAAATGAAAATTAATAATGACACTGTGGCGTTCGTGAAGACACAGACACAGGAAATAATTCACTTTAAAGGTGAATGCTATTTATTGAACAACAGCAAGGGAGAACTGCTGCCCAGTGCTGACAAAGTGTCTGTGATAGCAGACAGGTCACTTCTAGCCATACAATTCTCCTTTATGTTAGACACTAGACCCACACAAACTACCCACAACCCAAAACTGAACAAACAAATGACATTTACACACACAGCTAGCAACAACAACTAAAAGCACCTCCTGAGAGCCTCTCTGTATGACGTTTCCCACCCAGCTTGGCCGGAGGCAGATACCAGAATATGATCAAGTGACATTATAAGCGAATCATGTGCCAAGAAAAATCTGCTCATAATGTTATGAGACAACAACAGAGCAAAGCTATCACATCTACTTCATCACAAAAGTGAATGACAATGGAAATGAAATATATTATTAAAAATTTTCAGATTACAGAGTTTTCAGAAAATGTGTTCATGTTTATTTTAGGTTATGTGTTTATTCTAAGATCTATTATTCTAAAGGTGGGGCTACTCACCCCCGTGGGAACATATCTCTTTACAACGGTGCGAACTGAGTCAGCCGAGGGCTCGGACACAAAGAATGCGGACGTAGTCAGAGATTCTCTTGGTTTCGGGTAACGCTTGAGCTAGCTTTTAGCTATATGTCCCATTTATGTACGGTAAAGCTGTGGTCAGTACAGCTGTTAATAAAGCACAATGCATTGTGCATAAGCTGAGTGTCCTTCTTTCCTAGCAGTAAATGCTGCAGTATATTCACCCATGATCCCTGCTGATCCTATTTAATCTTCCCCCAAATAAAACGTCGGTCATCAGAAGAGGATGTGAGTCTTTAACACAAGTTGGAACCCAGGGCTGTAATGATGTAAACAGTAGTAATAAAATAATGTATCTCACCAGTGACCTGTAGCTGAGTCTCTGTGTAGTAGGAGTAATAACTGACTGACTGTCCTCCAACACTCACTGCACAGAAATAAACTCCTCCATCATCTTCACTCACATCACTGATTCTCACACTGACAACTTTAGAGCTTCTGTCTTCAGAGATGGAGAATCTGCCTCTCTGAGTCTCTGTGGTGTCGATCATTATAGGAATATAATGACCATCAAGTTTGTAGAGGTACTTGGTGTGATTCTCAAACTGCTCTGGATATGAACAGCTGATGGTGACAGTCTCTCCCAGATAACCAGCCACAGTCTTTGACCCCAAACAACATGAATCTGTTAATCATACAAAGTTAATAAATATATTAATATATCTACAAATGTTGTGTATGTCAATAGAAATTTACTGAATCAAATTACTGAATTAAAATGATTGTTTTCCCCTTAAATATATTTCAGGGCTTCTCTAGTATTTGAGTATCTGCTCAGTTTGGAATAATGACTGATTTTTTTTTTTATGCTAAAATGTATTAATTTTATAGAAACAAAAAGATTCTAAAGGTTCTCACCTCTGATCATTTGGAGGTTAAACTTGTGATTCCACCTCCTACCATCTCCACACTGATATGTCCCAGCATCCTCTGAGCTCAGCTGTCTGATGGTCACTATGAGGGCTGTCTGACAGTTATCATGTAGATCAAATCTGTCTTTATGAATCCATGTGTTACACTGTTCAGACTCAGTAACTGATATAGTTCCACACTCAGCTTCTGTTTTCATTTTGCAAAAAAAATTCCTTTCCCATCCATAATTATTGTGTGTGCAGGTGATTGAAACTCTTCCTCCCAGGAAGCCGATCACATCAATACCAGCCGCTCCACCTGTCAATGACATTCAACATTTCACTGACCTTATTAAGAACAACTACCTACAGCTCCTCATCCATCATGTAAAATCTGAATCTAACTCTGATCAATATGACCTGTAAATATCTCTGTTCTGTAGTTTAACTTTCTGTTGTTTCTACTTTATTTTGAAGCAGTGAATCTGACCTGAGATCAGGTGGAGGGTGATGATGAGGAGGATCTTCATTCTGGTCTAAACTTCAGTCTCAGTGATGTTCATATAAACGCCAGTCCACCGTTCTCCAAGGTCAGTCCTGTACTGTTTAGAGGGAAACGGCTTCTTTCAATCGTACACAAAACACTATTGTGTCTCTGGCTGGTGTTGGTCATTTCCTGTTTCTTTAAAATGAGTCATATATATTCAGCTTCACAGCTCCTCCCACCAACATCACTGACCAAACACCAAGTGTAAGGGATAAGGAGGGGCTGAATGTTGGTGTATAGTATATAGTGATGTATAGTCTTACTTTGTCTGTAAGGAGAACGTACCTAATGTCCCCTTCACTGCTCTCTGGTCTAAATAAGTAAAGTCCAGCCTCACTGATCTCACCAGTGTAACCAGACTATGAGATCTTCCCACAACAAAATCTGTCACACTTGAATGATGAAAACATTTGACTAAGGTGTGTTCGGTCGACTGCATGTCTACTGTATACATACGCAATGAATTCAGTGAAGCGATTAGACACTGTATATAAAAACTACAATAATCATAGAGTAGTTATTATATTTTACTTTTTTTACCCTTCTGTCCACTTCTGTACTCCTCATGTCTCTAATGAACAGGTTTATGATTGTATGTATGTAAGTAAGTAAGTAAGTAAAGTATTTTAGAGGTTTTACTACTTTGGGTTTCAACTTTTTTTTAAATATTACTGGCCAGTGAAAAACTCGCTTAGGAAGACTGAATTAATGGTGCAGCATCCTTGGCCTAATGGCACACAGAGGAAGCAAAGCCAGGAATGAGTGTAATAACCAAATATTCATTAGAACCCGACTAGTATTCATAACTATTGTTGCATTTTGCGCTATTTAAAGGAGACAAACAGCTTCCTGTATGACTTGTATGCTTTACCAAAGGCTGTAACAGCCACAGCCATGCTGTACAAATAAGCAAGGCATCAGGCTAACTGCCTTCCCCCAAGGACCACAGAGTCTTTGAACTATCTTAACCTTAACACTAACAGTGGCAGCAGTGGTGCTCCTCACGGCCACCATTCACCTTCACCTTCACTGATGTGGATGGGGTGCTGCTCTGCCCTAGAGATCCTACAACCATCTGTGATGCTGCATGTTCTACTATAACCTGAGTAACCAGTGGCTTCATCATCACCACATGGATGCTTCTCAGACTCACTGCTGCTCTCGAGGTCCATTTGACAGCTGTTTTTCAAAAAGTCTAGGCCTAGAATGCTCATCTTGGACTTCAGCTGTTCAATATCTTCTTGCCCTTGACTGTCAGCATCAGCCTTCCCCTCCCCAATATCGGTGCTTACTTATCGGTTACTGTGCAGAGATGAGCTGTCATGCCCTCCAGGTTAAACAAAGCAGGCACCACTTGGGGTGTCCAGTAGCCAAGTTGTAGGAGAGCTGAACCATCAGCCGGAAGGTTGTGGGTTCAAATTTCACTACTGACCAGGTATTCCTGGTTGTGTAACCGCCCATTGCTCCAGGTGGCACTGCTCTGCTGTGCTGCTCCAAGATTGTGTGTAGTACAGCTGCAGAATGACACATTTCCCTTGTAGGAGTACATGACATGACAATAACATGACAATAAAACTGATGACCCTGTGTACTCCTTTATGCACTGCAGAAGTCTGATATGGATGTTTGCCCCACCAAAGTCATTGTTTGTTCACTGCTGGTGCTGTTCTTTTTGAGTTCACCCTCAATGGACAAAGCTAAATAGTCTCCTAGTTGGCAATAGTGCTTGCAGTTCTGCCCTGGCCAGACGTCTCAGACAGCCACACGTTGAGCAGCTGGAAAAGGCGCACCATAGCGGCCACCTTCTGGGTTAGCCAGTACCGCTATAGCACAACTGAGCTCTTCTGACCCCTGACTGATTGCGGAGGAGGGGATGTAGTCGAGCATCACATGCAGGATGCCTGCCCATTAGTTTGTATACTGGCTGAGAGCTGAGCGATATTGAGTTGTGCACAACATAAAAGGAAACTCTCTGTCTCCACACCTGCTCCCAGTGTCCTCACTCCTCCCAGCCTCCCAAAGATCTTACACTTCTGCTTAATTAAATGCTGTATCTGCCACAGCCACACTGTACAAATAAGCAAGGCTTCAGGCCAACATCTGACCAGTACTTCCTGTTGTACTGGCATAAACACAGAGCAAAGTGGCTAGCCCGTCTTCACATAAAGATTCCTTACAAAATTAACTCAGAGAGTAACTGATAAAAAACAAGTAACCCAAAATAAACATGCACACAATTTTTAACATGTTATAATATGTTTATTACAGATTCTGTTCAATCTGGATAGAGGTACATGTCCTTGTATGTGTATTTATTATCCATTTTATCAGCTCCACTTACCATAGAGGAGCACGTTGTAGTTCTACAGTTACAGACTGTAGCACATCTGTTTCTCTGCATACTTTGTTACCCTGTTCTTCAGTGGTCAGGACCCCCATGGACCCCCACAGAGCAGGTACTATTTGGGTGGTGGATCATTCTCAGCACTGCAGTAACACTGATGTGGTGGTGGTGTGTTAGTGTGTGTTGTGATTGTATGAGTGGATCAGACACAGCAGTGCTGTTGGAGTGTCCACTCTCTGTCCACTCTATTAGACACTCCTACCTTGTTGGTCCACCTTGTAGATGTAAAGTCAGAGACGATAGACTCTTTACTGTATTACACACTCCTCAGTCAAAAACGACCAGTTACAACATACACATCAGCTTTTAAGTTTAATAGATAAACACCGTGTTTGTCTAAAACAACAAAGTAAGAAGAAAATAGTACCAGTTTAGCTAAGATTAGTTAGCCAGCCGCTAACAGTTGCTTTCTCATGGTGGAGGTTAAGTTGGGATGTTGATGGGTTTTGGGAAGCTGATTTGGCAGTTGATAATAATGAAATAATAATAGTGAAGGCAGAACTTGAGTGTGCAGATACTGGACAGTACTCCAGTGGAAATTTGTTTTGAGTTTGTCCTTAATAGTTGTGCTCTATTAATGAAAACAATGCTGTCCTTTTCTGCCATGTCTGAGTGCAAAATTTAAAAGAACATGAAAGCGAGGAGTGTTGACTGTCATCTATTTACCAAGATATCAAACTTTTTACAGGCAATACGAAACAGAGCTTCAAATAAAAACACATGCAATCAACATTTCAGTGCAGAGGACTATGAAGGTGACCTGCAAGCAGAGTTGTGGTTGTCTGCCAAGATGTAAACTGAAAGAAACGGTTTCAGTTCTTTCAAATTCTGTTTCAGCGCTTTTCTTTATAATTTATTTATTCATTACTTGCGATGGACTGGCGACCTGTCCGGGGTGTGTCCTGCCTTCCGCCCGGTGGCCGCTGGGATGGGCTGCAGCACCCTCCAACCACACAGTAGGATAAGCGGTTTAGAACATGTATGTATTCATTACTTATTTACTTATTCTTTTTTTAAGTGTTTGTGTCATGGAAGTTTCACTGAAACAGCAATTTGATATAAATGTCCATAAAGAACCTTTTTCTTCAAACAAACTATTATTCAGAACATTTTAAAGGGAACAAAAGGTTCAGGTTCAGTTTTATTTATTAAACTGAAAGTAAGAAATGAAAAGACAACAAAATGAGATACAAACAGCTCATAAAACCTTAACCATATAAAATACACAGAGATATACGAAAGCTAATTATCCACCACAAAGTCAGAACTTATTATTAAAAAATTACAGCATCCAACTGACATTCATTTCAAACAGATACTTATTGTACATAACATTCAGAGAATACATGACACAGTAAATAAGAGCACATCATGACATCATATTAGGATGGAAATGTAATTTATGTTCTAGCTAGAAAATCTCTATAATAAAATAAATCAAATAAAAACAACAATAATCTATAACTTATTAAATATAATACATACACTGTGTTTACAGAACTACAGTTGAGTTTAACAGGTTTCTTCTGATTTCCACACGTGGATCTGAGTAGAAAGCCAGAGTTGGAAGACTAAGACCAAAGGATTTAACAAGTGGAATCAGGTGAACTCCTGTTTATTTATAATGACAACATACAGCCACACCAGCCTGTTGTGGATAAGGCTGGATACCCTGGTCTACTCTTGGAAAATGAATATTTGGTAATAGAGTCTAGTTCTAGTAGATTAATTCTGGTTTATTGGTGTTGGGGTTTAGAGATTGGTAGACTGAATCTGATTGGCAGGTGGCAGGGTTTAGGGTCTGGTAGAGTGAATCTGATTGATTGGTGTTTGGATTTAGACTCTGGTAGACCGAATCTGATTGGTTGATGTTTGGGGTAAGACTCTGGTAGACTGAATCTGATTGGTTGGTGTTGGGGTCCAGGCTCTGGTAGATTGGACTCATGCTGATGTTTTGTTTTCCAGGCAGATCATTTTCATAATCAGCATCAGCCTGAAATCAGAGTAACACACACACAGTGGAAAATAACTCAAGCCTTAGGCCTCACATCACATTCATTCTTTCACGCATAATACTTCCCAACATGGCCATGACAGCAGGGGCTCCCCACTCTGGCCCTAAACATTTACTGCCATGGTGATTTTTGTTTAATCAGACCTGGCTCTAATACTCAGATGCTCCTGAATACCATCATTAACTGGATCAGGTATGTTGGGTTAAGATCGTAACTAAACCTTCCAGGACAGTATATCACCGGGGACAGAGTTAGACACCCCTGCTCAACACCTAGAACGCTAAAGATAAACAAAATCAAGTTTGACTGCTTGCTTTACACATAATAATTCTCCAACTGGGCTCTATGAAGGCAGCAGTGTACGCAGTCAGTTGTTCTATTCTACACATCAATATTGTGGTGTCAGCCATAACAAGACACTGGGGTTAGTAGCAGAGTAAGGCCACCAAGCTTAAAGTAATGTAAACGGTGCATCAACAGAATTGATGGTGGATGGCAAAGACAGTTCATGTCCATGGGGGCCATACTCTGCACAGAATTCCTGTGGGGGCAGCCGCTGACTGTGGAGGAGCTGAACATGCCGCATCAATGATGTAGTGGATGATGAGAAAGCATAAGGCATGGAGGGACGGCAGCAAG